GCCTATATATTCCTTTTTATGTAGCCTATATACTGTAGTTTTATTCTGTTTTCTCCGTTCACAGAAACGCTGCAGGTGCGTGATGTGACCTTGTGTGAATCCGTGTTCTACACTGATTTCAAACAAAAAGCTGCATATAATTTGCCATTCATTTTCACTTAAATGTAGGCCTAATGCTTGGCGGTTCGTGACATATCCTCGGATAAACTCTAACGCCGGTGCATTGCCATTGTGACTGATGAATTTACAGCTGAGTGTGGGCATTTCACTCGTTGGATGCATCAGCGTCACGTTTGCATAGGCCGTACTATGCTGTCTGACAAACTATATTTTGTACAGATTTTTATTTTGTTTTGGCAAGTATTTAATTATTTTGCCCAGAGAAAAACGTTGGATTATGCAACAGACATGCAACTCGTAGTCTCCATGCAGTTAATTAATAAACCATCGGTACCGGCCCTTTTCATGCAATTTTTTAAATGAAAAATCGGCCGATACATCGGTTCATCCCTAGTATTTATTCATATTAAGAATTATTTTATTTTATTTCAGAATTAGTTTTAGTAATTTTAGTACTTCAACTTATTACAGTTAGTTGCAAACGTAACATTTCTAATTTTGTTTACTTTCTAATAATTTAATTTCTCATTTCTAATGTAATATTTAATTTTATTTAAGCCTTATTTCAATAAAAAAAATATTGGTTTTAGTTTTATTTCATTTGTCAAGAACCACTGTACCAAATTATGTATTTACATCAAAAAAGTTTTTATTCATTTCTGAGATGCTTTTTGCATACTGCTTGTTTAATTAAACATGCAGTATAATGCAGTCATGCTAGCAATGTAGCATACTACTTTCTGAAACATTCTCACTGCATATTGCATCCTGTTTCATACTGTTTTCAAACAGTAGCAAGCATTATACTGTGTACTTCACAGTATGCAAGAAGCTAGTATTCCATTCCGAGCACAGCCAGTGCATCCACATCAGGCAAATAAAAGGGATACTTGAGCTTTTTCCTAACACTGATGTACATGTATGCTTAATGTTACTTTCTGAAGTCCCATACATGAGCTTTGGAAATGGCATTGGAATGCAAATGGGAGCATGTGTCCCCCACCGTTGCAGTGCATGCTGGGAGTTGGTGTCTGTCTCTGTGTTGTGTTTTCTGTTCGTGATGGAAGTTATAAGACTCATCTGTCACGTGATGTCTTTTATTGTTCTTGAACACCACATTGTATCAGAGAGAATTAATATTTTAATTTAACATTTGAAAAAAAAAATATTCATTTTCCATAATGTACTGTCTTGCATCTGTGTGAACATGTAAATTACACATGTTTTAGGTTTTATACTCTTTAAATACACTATTTTCACTCTTTTTCAACAATAAACCTTTGCCTATGGCTCTGCGTTTGCAGTCGGCATGTTTTGAGCGGTGGCTGTATCATGCATGTTTTGCTGTCACTGTTGTGGCTGCTCTTGACCCAGGAAGTATAATCTCGTCTGAAGCACCATTACGTGTGTTTCCTTACATGCTGGTTTGAATGTAAATGAGGTGCAAGTGACGCATCAAGGTAGACCTGTGTGGAGTTGTCCTCTTTTGTCATGAGACACTCATGTGGCTCTCACACACAGTCTGTCTGGTTCAGTTCATGTCAGGGTGAACTTGGTCCACTTAACTTAACAACTGAACTAGAGTCACTTTTTAATATTCAAGTGGGGTCCTTTCTCATATTCAAAAATCTGTTGCCATTTTAAAAGAATTATGATTTCACACAGTATTCTTGCACTTGAGCTTTGGGGTCTCAAAATACATTTAAAAGTGCTCTTTGTAATTTGACACTCGAGTTTTGTGGCTTTTAGTCAATATGTGTTTGCTTCGAGGCCATTTATATGCTAATGTACTCCTAAAAGTTGACAAAATTCACTTTTAGAAGATATGCACATTTAAAATGTACAGTCTGGGAAAATGGAGAAAAATATTGATTTTTACACATGTATGTCCAGTCAAATGCTCTCTAAAATGAGAATTAGATTATTATTTAAAATATTTTATCAAAAATTGGCTTTTTGATCTACCTAAAGTCCTGTTTTAATAGGAAATATGTCAACGCCAATTTCAGTTTGTTTGTTTTTTTAAACAGCTAGATGCATCACAATGGTCAAAGACGTTCATCAAGCACATTTACATAAACAAATGATTATTTATAAGTGCTACATGTTATTTGGCACTTGAGTTTTGTGGCTTTTATTCAATATACGTTTGCTTTCAGGCCATTTAAATGC